AAATTACACCTCCAGGAGGATTAAACCGGGGCGCAGCAGCAATAAAAGAGAATCAGCCTTGGGTGCCGCCACGGTGTCCTGGTTATTTGTTCAGTCGAACTGGATGAACGGGAAACAGGACCACGGATGCAAATTCTTTGGCACCATTTTGACCGGCGTCACAGCCAATAAATAGTTCTGCCATATGGGGCAAAGGAAGCTGAGGCTCGCACTTCGAAATAACAATCCCGTAGTCAAGATTGGTCAGTTATTTGGGGACGAATTCGCTGACCGGCAGGTCCATGGCTTAAACCTAACCTCTTCTTCTCAACATCCCCTGTCTACGCGTGGGCAGCCCGACAGTATCTCAGACATCATGCTTCCTTCTGGTGGCATGACATTAAGGCATCGTTACTGTGGTACAGCTAATCGATTTTTTAACCACGGGTTCAGGCAGCCGGCTTCGTAAGGATGATCGAGATAAAGGTTAACTACTTCACGATCGATATAACTAATGTTAAATTATAAGGTGGAGTCAACGAAAGCTAATGACGGCTCACAGAGTAAACAGTCTTCGAAAAAGGCCTAATTCGAGCGCCCAGGGAGCTGCAACTTAGCAGCCGCACCGCAATCAACTGCCGTCAGAACAATTGGAATAACACAGAATATAACGGACGCGAGTGTGCGAATTGGAATGAAAGTTCACTGATATACTCCCCAAAAGTTTCAGCTATTTTTCAACGAGAATGTGGAAAACTGGTTACTGTAGAAGGGTAGCCGCATTATAAAGCAGCCCATCCCAACGAAGAATTAGCAAGCAGCATTACTCTTCTCCGCGTGTAGGGCTTTGAACATTCGAGACAACTCAATGTATTAGCATTTCTGGCAATGAAATCAAGACGACTGACATGTAAATGAATGTTATTCCATCACAAAAGAACATAAATGTTTCCTTTCATACGAGTCTCGTTGTCAGCTCCTTGCCAATTTGGAATGAAACTGCAAATCTAGGGTTCGAAACGTATCACCAGTATGCTGCGGTAAAATGTCATTCGAAATTCATTTATTTATTGATAGGAGACCCAGCTGGAGTTCATCTGAAGCCTTTGGATATGGTAGCATTTACTCAAACATGCTGCAAAAAAGATTTCCTCTTGTGTAACCTGCACAAGATGTCTAAATATATCTCAGTGTCACTCACATCGTTTCCAAAAATGCTGGAAGGCACACCGCAGCTTCCAGGCTTTTTGAGGCCTAGCCCATGAATTCTCATAAAGCATGTTTTGCACGCAACCGCATGTTAATATGTCATTGCTGAGTAGCGATTAACAACAAGTTGAAACGACTGTTTATTGTGGCGGATGTACAAATTGATTTCCAATTAAGAAATAGGTTGGTCAGATCGAATGAGTTCCGAAAATTTTGAAATTTGTGGTTGGTTGTCCGGAGGACTTGGCAATCACATTCGTAGCACATGCCGATGATATCTGTCTGTATAAGTACAGTTTCTACGATAACAAGCCTGGTAACTACAGGACGCAATTGGAATGCGCATATACGTGAATCTAACACAAATCATTTAATCTGTTCAACAATGGACTCGGGCAAATCCCAAAAGTCGTGCATCTTCATGGAAAGCAACATGAAAATTGCGGAGCAGCGAGATGCCAAATGCCCAACTGCCCTGGGACTGGGGTTGGAACTCAAACCCTGAATCACATTCCGGTCCATCTACTGAGTGAAAACGCTGAAATGGAATGTATATGTAGTGCGTGAAGTTGGTTCCGTATGACCAGTATAGCAAATGCAGCAAAATCTGAGTATGTACTCAGCTAAACAATAAAGTGGCACTTCACTCATGACACCGGAAAGACAATGAAATCTTAAGAGCTGCTAAATACCAGTTTATATCTTCAAAGTAACATCCAAATGGCAGCCCCGATTTGTTCGAACATTTCAGTCATTGTTCTCTGTCTGTTGACGTAACATTTATGTAAGATGCGGGCTGCTAAAAATCTTATGGGACGACCGAGGATATCGGGCTATACGCCGTTTTATTCTGTATGTGAAGGCAGAAGACGCCCTTCCGAGAACCGGTTGATCAACAATAGAACAATCAGTAGGAGCGGAAATGGGGGTGGGATTGGACTCGGGCAGTCAGATAGTGTAACTAGGTCGTACACAGTAATAGGGCTTCAGGAGACAGTCCGTACATTCGGGAAGTAACGGAAACGGCCTTCCGTTTTAGCTGAGAGCAAACAAAACATCACGTGCCACTTGTCAAATCAGAACGCGCGCTTAGGATAGTTTAAAACAAAATTTCAGCAATTATTATCAGGCGAGATACAACATGAACGCAATGGCAAAACAGGGTTGCCTTGTGACGCAAACGAGCTTAGTGGGTAGCGCAGTTATCTACTACCTGAGGGTGTCCAGGCCATCCCGCTTTGTCAGATCAGCAGACTCCCGCGGAATCGAAACGGCGTTATAATAAAAAGGCGCAAGTCATGCTACTCGTGAGTATCTAGATCGAGTATAAGAAATAAGCGGTGGCCACCGGTGATCCGCAGGGGATCTGTTTGTTTTTCTATTTCATCTATCTGCTTTCAGATCTGTCCATCTGGTTTCATGTGTCTAGGGTTTCGGTCTGCTTCTCAGTCGGTCGGTCAGTCAACCAGTCTGTTTTCTATTTATGCATGCGTACACTTGTCAGTCTGTTCCTATGTTCATTACAAAACCAAAACGTTTTCTCGTGCTTGCACATCGTCTCCTGCCTATTTGTTCCGTCCATACGGATATGGCCGAGATAAACAAAGTGTAGGTCGATAGTTTCTTCGCCTACAAAATCTATGTAAAAACTTTAAAGAATGTGGCTGCTTGAGGATGTCCTGTGGAACATCTGAAACTGGGACGATTTTGATTCTTATTTCAGAGTGACAGCCGGAATTCCTCGCACGAAATCACATTTCAAAGACAAGTAGAAAACCTACTGGACTCATCAGCTTTGTTAGCGGAATATAGAAATATCTTCCTTTCAACTGGAGTACCAGTGTAGGAATTCTCCCATCGAGTTTGCACCGAACGAAGATTTTCCCGTTCTGTCGGTCCGTCTCCGTCAACCTTTTGAGTATAGTTTCGACCATCGTTCTGGGACCCGCGGTCCTTGGTTCCCCGGTGTGTATCGACACCACACAGAAAACACATAGAGGGATGGAATCTATATAAATTCTGCAGTGAAGAAAGGCGATAGGAATTAGAGATGTCGGTGTGCGGACAAAAATTTCAGCTCATTTACACGCGCGATATTTGAATGCATCATTGGTCGCACCTTAAGTGGGATTTTATAGCAAAACCATTGTGACCGCATTTGACGGTAACGGGGACGAACCTCGTGACCATGTCATCGGTTGAATTGTACATTTGCTAATCGCGCAGTTCTGAGATTTCATATTCGCATGAGTAATGGGATGAAAATGGGGCTGAATCCCTAACAATTTATTGTTTTTTTGCGACCTATATCAACCAGTACAACTTTGAAATTGCAATTATCGTCCTGGGGAAATGTCGATCAAAGCTAACCACACTAATCGCCCATGAATTATAAGTTGTAATTTCAAACGTTTCGAAATTGTGATTATTTTGGTTTACAGCGCCCATGGATGTTGCGTTTTTAGGATTAAAGCTTCCATTTATCCTTGAATATCCTGCCTACTAATGAGAGGACCGTTCCAGTGTGCGAAAATTTCTGGTCACTCACGCCGAAGCAAATGTAGATAGGCGAGACTTGCTTCTGAGAAGTTGCCACTCGATGAGCCAATCAATAAGCGATCACGTGATGTGGTTTCCGTTATTGAAGAGTGAGTGGCCAGTTGAGGATTAATCACAGTGCTGGTCGGGCGGTCGTGGCCAAACGTACTAGTGTTCAACCAGTGGCCCGAAAGTTGTGAGTTTCATGATATTCACACTGTTGTTGACTCCAAGAATGGATTAAACTAATGCTCAGTGCTTCTCGGCTTTTCAGCATTGATTAGCTTCAATGACACAATGAATTCTCTATTGAATGTAGAATCACCGTTCCAAAGTTATGGGTGTGTCACATGTCGCGCTGCTAGCGCGATCGCTTGCGCTAGCAGAAGGACTGGTTTCCAAGGACATTGGACGCAAAATCTGGTGACGGAGATGGATGAAAGTTCTTTGCGTGAAATGGGGCCGCAAACTGGTCCTTTAAATGCGCTCATTGGGTGATATTTGAAAATGCATTTTGCTTCAGATACCTATCAATCGTCTCATAAATGGCAGCGGGAAAAAACGGAAAAAGCGAAAGGTTTGTTTACCCAAACAAAGACGAAATACGTAACCCCCGGTCTCCGCACTTATAGATCCGGGTTCGCAGGAATCACGACTCATGCGGTGGACCGTGTCGATAAATCGCAGTATGGTTTTATACCGCGGAGCATTTCGACTTCATGATCACTAAGGGAAAACCGCACCGAATTGGCACTTGAGAGAGGTAGGAATTATGCTGGATTTGAACCGCCGTTTCCTTCCCTTGGTGGGGAATTTTCGCATGGGGAACCGATGTTTCAAGGTCCCGCAAGCGTTCGCTCATGCAGCGCGTCAGTCCATGCTTCAAACTCGTCTTGGTACGTAACAAGAATACACAAACAAACGACAAGTCTTCATCGAAACAGTCGCCTTTAAGGAGCGCTGCTGAATCAGAGCTCACATCCAAGGGTCTGTGTGCGTTTCCGTGGCTGTTGCCAGGTTGCCTTTTAGCGGTCAGTTTATCCACTGCTTTGCAAATGGTTCATTCGTCCAAACTACGGGCAAGAAAACTTAGCTGTCATGGTGAGGAGCCTAACACTGACAGACAGTGACTGCATGTACGGATATGCAGGTTTGGCGGTTGACAAACCGGAACGGTGGAGAACGTGGCGAACTAGATGTGGGGCGAGAGGTTCATTTGACTTACGCATCTGCAGTTATCACCCACGGAAGTGACTGTTGAATTTGAACGTAGGTCATGGGTCCATCAGAGTATTCGGGACGGATAGTTCCAAACACCAGATCACCTCTGACCTGTTGAATTCGTAGGTCATGGGTCCATCAGAGTATTCGGGACGGATAGTTCCAAACACCAGATCACCTCTGACTGCTCTGAATGGATTTGTTTCCGACGTACGAGTTCTATAAAAACAAAATGGTCAATAAAACCACCACTGTGCAAATTGAGCAGCAGTTTTCTCTACGTAATACACTACTCACAAGTCTTATGAAAACTCTTTGACAGGAGACGACAGCTTTCGCCCTTCTAATTTGAAATCCACATGTATCTCAGATCCTGAGTTTCCTTCAGCCATATATCCTACTTGAATCCTAGAGTCTGTCAGCTCACTCACTCGTTCCTGACCAGTTAAACCTTAAAAGTGAAACTGAGGTATCTAATCTTTCACACACACATTCCTTGCCACCAAGGTGGTCTCCTAGAAACCTACTCACCAAATCGTTCTTTCTCAACTCAGGACACCTTATAGCTGTCCGTTTAAACGCCATACATAATGGGAATACCCGAGTTCTTCGTAAACACACGAGAGACTCACCAGATGTGGTCACACGAGCTAACCTGTCATAAATTTCTACCGATGCAGTGAAATTGTTCAATTTACGGTCGGTTGAATTGCAAATGCACCAGCGATTGTGCTTACAGAAAGAACAAGGTCACTTGATTTGCATTAAGCACACGTTTATAGCACGTAAATCAGGGATACTCTAGCGCGCACTAGAACTGCCCGTAGCGGGGAATTCAGACTATTGTTTCGGCAGTCGTATTGCGCAGACAAAAATTGCTAGACAAACATGGCAACACAACCAAGTCGCAAGAATTAGACAGATCTCCCTCGAAGGTGTCAGATTCTATCCTGATATTGTATTTCGTCATGCGTAACTGTCCGATTGAACCCACTGTGGTCCGCTGTAGACGTCTTACCCACAAAATCGAAAGGTGAAAACACCACTCTCGATTCTTCCATACTTCAGCATTAGATTCACCAAGGAGGGAAATGATGAGCCTGAAGGGTTTCCCATTCCAATCACTCCATCGTAAACGTTGTCCATTGACATCGGTTCGGATGTGCCAATCACCTCCACAAATGAGAGACCTTTGAACTTTGCTTCTCCTATCTAAAATGAAACGTGGTTGATTGATACAAATGGTTTCGTGTTACAATAAAATTATCCTCGACAATATTGCCCGTCATTATAGTTTGACGGTGCTCCAGAGTCTGTTCAAATGTCTCTCGGAATACACGTGTCTGTGTATGCTTCTCATATCTCGTCCCACCGACTTTGTGTGATAGGAGTACCGTGTCTGACTGCACCCACCAGAACGAAGTACTCGTGTCAAACATCATGCGGAAGCTCTTTTGTTGCCCAATTTGAACGAAGGCATAGTTATGACCCTGGGTGAGTCGGATCATTGGGAAAGCAATTATTGAAATCACTCACCGCTGGGCTGATGGTCAAGGCAATGTGGACTTCTGATTTTCTAGGGTGCACTGCTGTTACAGAAATTGAGCCAAAGCTAAATATTTTTGAAAAATGCGAAATATAGCTCTGGCTTACTTGGTCAGGATAAGGAGACAAGCAACTGTCGTATTCAGCGTCGCCATGAAGAAAACGCCTTCACCACGAAACCACTTCGGAAAATGAGACAGACTGCAAATGAAATTGCGAAGGCAAAAGTTTGTGGGTGCCACGCGTGATCGAGTGAATCGTGAATTCGCAAGCCCCAAATAAGTATTGGCCCATATCGATCCAATTGCACGCTTTGGTGGAAACAACCAACCAGAGAGCCAAATAACTGGGCCAATAACAGACGTTACGAACCAATACCTGCTGGCTTCTCTACTGCAGACATCATCGTTATACAACCAACCATGATCGCGGCTCCCTCGCGTTTTGTCACATGCAGATTTGAGCAGTCAAGTGCTGATCCAGTCGCTGAATTATTTTCATCAGGAACATACAAACTGTGTGGCCGGTTGATGTTTCCTGGAAATACATCAGCCTATTATTCCCAGCGTCTAGTCTTACCTTTTTAGGATATGATTCTTGGCCTGGACAGTCCTGTAGTACGCCCCGGTAACATTGACACACCAGTGGGCGTTCTTGCGTCATTACCTACCCCAGAGTATAAAGAAAACAATGTTGAAAAAACCGCGACTATTTGTTCATTCAATCAATCATATTCAAATTAAAGCTGTCAACCTTCAATGAGACTGGGATACATTCATCGACTGTGATTTCCCCTTAATTCTTGGGCTCATCGAGTGGGCGCAATCTTTGACAGGGAATGTGAGGTCCCCCGAGTTGGGGTAACTCCCGCGCAACGGCACTCCTCATCGGGCATCGTTCGGTTTGTGCTTGCTGCGAACAAGAACCTAGGTTCCGTTGGAAAATATCATCACTCGTGTTGCACAAAGTATTCCGTGCTGGCTTTCTGATTTGCCGTTTGTAGTTTATGTTTATGACGTCAAGACACGTTTACAATCACCGTGGAATAAGTGAGCAATGTGAGAAATGAGAAACTAAGAATCTCCAGGCAAGCTGATTGAGGTGAAGTGTGAAGAACTTGCGGATGAGATTTATGATCAAACAGAGCCGGTACCTTTCTGTTAACCCAACACAGGCTGATTAAATCAGTTTCCTAAACAAGTTCAAATAAAAAATCGACATCAGCATCGTGCGAGTTGTTTATGTGAACTGTAGCACTCACTTTCTAAAATACTGTTCAGTTGTAGCAACCTTTCGGTGCCCAAATTCCATGCCAGCAGAAGGAAGCAGGTGGACAAGATTACTGCCAAATTGCCCAAGCCTAGACAGGGCAAGTCGAGACGCAGAGGTCGGGCTTGAACCATGGACATTCCGGTCAATAAATTCGCGCTCTTACCCCTGAGCTATCTCAAACGTTTATTTTTTCGTCTACAAGTGAAGACATAACCGGCCAACAATAAGCGCTCTTACCCCTGAGCTATCTCAAACGTTTATTTTTTCGTCTACAAGTGAAGACATAACCTCAAATCAAAGAATTTGCTGTCAACGAGGTAACTTGCGTGTAGTGTATCTGGCGCACAGGACGTTTCGAATCATGACGCTGCTGGGTGAAATATGCCTGCCAGTTGATCACAAGTACATGTGATAAGGAGCACAACCTTGTTGATCCTCACAACTCCGTTCTTGTCGAGCTTCGATGTAACACCTAATGAAGATATTTGATTATCCAGCCCTCGAGAAAGGCTATTCAATAATCGGACGCTGTACTTCACTCTGTATTTTTTCCGACTTTACCAATGACGGGAAAATGACTTCATCTATGTTGCTGGTCCCCATATTTCGGGAGACCAAGATTTCGGGACATCCCCACACGATTTGAGGTTACGTAGATCTTTGATTGAATGAGCATGACTACTTTCTGAGTCGTCATCATTCGAGAAGTCGGCCGATGCATGACCACGTGATATGGTTTGCGCTATTACATAAGGAGTGATACCCCTGCCTGTGGTCACCGAATGACAGTCTCAACTGTTTCTGACAGGTGGAGATGTAATGCCCGACAGTGTCGGCAACAAATCGGTCTTCGAAGGGTAACTCGGCTGGAGCGGTCTAGGATGGAGTTTAGGATAGTGATCCCATTCACTTATTGGTTGTCCGAAAATTTGGCGGAAATCAAATTCTGCTCAGAGGAATTATTTACTAGCCACACGACCGCTGTTGACTGGAAGAACTTCCTTCGCGAAGTTTGCGCCTGGCACATTTGCACATTCCAACGGTTAAGCATACCGAAAGCATACCGGTTAAGCATACCAACGACTGGAGCTCACACACAAACCATCGAATCTCTTTGGGACGTCTGCAAGATGTAGAATAAACGCCAATGAGGCACACACCGATCTTTAGTGGACAGCCACTTGTGTGAGTTCGTTTGGAGGCAAAGCTACCGAAAAACAGACCTTTTCATGCAAGTTATCAAAGACGTGCCCCGATTTAATCCTCTTCAGTAAAAACTAAAGGAACCACATTTCTTTGGGTGGGGTGGTTAATTTTTTGGCGGGGCTTATTTCGAAAAGATCCCTATTGACAAGCCATCAGATGGTCGAACTTTTAACAGACCATCAATCTTGGTTGGAAGTATTTGGCTCCAAAAAGGACATTTTCATCTAAATTATCAACCGATTACGACGCTGATCAACCATGTTGTCAGGCTACGATTTAAGTAGCCACTTTCGTCATATGTCCGTTTTTGAGAAATTGGGTGTCCGTCCCTGATTCCTCAATCTATGTAAGTCATTTGAAAATAATCCATGAGCGATTCTGAAATTGACGTAGGTCGATCGGTTAGAGACTTTGCTCGTGTCATGCTGTTCACTTCCTCTGATATTGAAGGTGTTATTACCGCGGATTCCTTGTTACCAAGGCTCCATCGTGCGTCTTCGGAAGACCTGTGCTTCACGAAATATCATTACAGGCGATCTGCGACAGCTCCAAGCCCCCTTTCCAGTGATTGATTCGTGTTTGGTATTTCCAGATAGACCAACTGTGTGCGTTTTTTTCTTATTTCATACACTGGAAACCCAGATATTAGCCAAACGAAAGCAACTTCCCTTAATCACTTTCAGTAGTGCGGACTGAAGTTGCTAAGGCAGTTGCAAAAAAAAAACGAACGAGGGTCCGCAAACTGTCAGGAAAGTCACATTCCTGAAAGTAACTCCAGCATGTCAGAGACCCATTGAGACCGTAAAAGTCCCACACCACAA